AGGAGCTCCACCCGGGGCCTAGCCGTGGATCTCTGCATCCAGATTCCCCAGTCCTTGGATGGGATTTCTGGCACGACTATTAGGGTGTTTGGCCATCCCATCACTAGCCTACGTCAGTTCCGGCAGTCTCTCAACCATTGCCAGCAGTCTATTGTGGGGGTATCTTTGTGGATTTCTGTGGGCCTCTCTAGCACTTTGTTTCTTCCTTTTCTCATGTGGTCTTCATTTACTATGGTCTCCTATTCCTTGTTCTCCCTCTCTGTTCTTGATCCAGCTGGGATCTCCCGCTCCCACAGGCTCTCTTTCCCTCAACCCTCATCCTTCATTACTCCCACTCATGTCCAGGTTGTTCATGTAGATCTCATCCATTTCTCCGTCATTGGGCGATCCCCGTGTCTTTTTTTTTGTTGTCCTGTTTTCCAGGTAGCCTCCCTGGTGATGTGAGTAGCAGTCCAGTCATCCTTGTTCCACATCTAGTATCCTCCTATGAGTGACTGTTTAGTAAAATTATTCCTGTTTTCTGTGGGGAAATATCCAGAGATCAGTGGACTTAGACAGAAACACCTGCAGTCTGGGATGGTGCTGCATGCCTGCAGTCCCAGAATTTCAGAAGCCAAGGCAAGGAAAATCATGTGTGTAAGCTCAGCCTGAGCTGTGGGGTGAGTTCCAGATCATCTTATTATATAAGGAGACCCTGTTTCCAAAACAAAACAAACAAATGGCGTTGCTTTGGGAGAGCACATAATCATGTCTTCTCTGTATAAGACAAGAGAGAGTTCCCATGCAATATGGCTTAAAATAAAATTCAAGCTCTCTGATTTTCCATTTGGAGATAATTAAATAAATATTAATACAATTCACTGACTCTTTATGAAGCATGATTCTATATAGCAAAGGGTGGAAATAATGATTGCAAAAGATTTTAATAGATGAAGTATTTATTCAAAATCAGTACATTGGTCACTACTGTACAAGGGGAGGAACATAACTATTAACTTTTCTTTCATTAATGTTGTAATTAATATAAAATAGAGATAACAACTGGGTGTTGAATAAGGTAATAACACCAATCATGACCAGGTTTTGTTTACTTTGGTTACTGTGATCAGAATATATTGTATAAAAATGACTTTATTTAAAAATTAAATTAGCTTATTTGCTATTACTGGTGTTTGAAATAAACAAGCCATATAGAATTACTTTACAGAAACATTTTTACATTCATATTAAAAGAATAGTGTTTTTCAGCTTTACTCTGAATACTCTTAAACTATACAGTATAGCAAAATTCTTATCTTTATTTTTACTTTCAGGCTATCAACACAAAATTTATTAGCAAAGAAGGGCACACTGGTCAGTCTACGTCAAGAGCACTTGAGACATGTCATAGACTGTATAGAAGGGGTTTGTTGTCCCATGACACAGTTTTGATCTGGTTAATTTTCATTGAAGGGTTCCAGTCTGTAAGTTATGTTTTTACATTTTATTAATTTGATCACAGTGTTTGAGAATGGAGTGGATAATATTGATGACATTGTCACTCTTGTTTTATTAAATATATCTATGAGCAATAAGCAACTTAAGCCATCTTAGAGCTGTTGAGCACAAAATCACTAGTATATTACTTTTATTTCAAATATGTTTTGCCTCAATTTCTTCCATTTGAAAAATAGCAGAAAATGGCACTATCTGACAATATATTTCCATTTCCAGCATCGTATTTGAAAGTGTGTGGAAGCACTGTGGCTTGGTCCCACTGTGGTTTGCATGATGTGCTGACTTAGGATGTCACAGGGATACTCACAGACTTAGCACTACTTGTAGTATATTCATGAAAGAGAATGAGGAGACTGACATGTGAGAAATACATCACTTTGGTTCCTAACACCTCTATGTACAACCTCCATACCTGAGGTCATTCAAATGCAAACTAACTGCCTTTGAGTAAAATATTATAGATTTTCTTTTATGAAAACATGAAGCAAGGTTGCCTAAATCCAAAACATTACTTTTTAAAATCCATAACATCAAAAATATTTTTCTGCACTTGTAGACATTAGAATAAGGGGCTCTGTCAGTGTAGCCGTTGAAAGTGACATGCTCTAGTAGTATTTTGATGAATTACATGATTACAGTTAAAGGAACAATTTCATCATGCTTGGATTAATAATGGTACTGTGATTTGGCCAGTCACTTGCGGCATTCTCTAGCTCATCACTTCAGAAGACAGGCTTCTTCATGCCATCCATTGTGTGAAAAAATACAGACTGCCATACAGCTTCAAAAGAAGGGCCCATAGGAACCTGTCAGCAATAGAAGGTAATGCATTCAGAGATGCTCAGAACATCTTAGCATGACAGCATTACCTCTCATGACTCATTTTAATTTCCTGTATATCTAATGGAAAAGAGTAAAGAGGTATTTTTGAACATTTTGTTGTTTATCAAATTTAATTGAAAATACTGTACACTCTGCTGTGCTACTGGGACACAGAAATTGTATGTGTATGGTGTTATTTTACATCTAGATTTAAGTGGATTAGGAAGGATAATATATAATCAATGCAACATTCATTTGGGCATCAATCAAGGAAAACACACACAGTGCTGAGTATTACATAATTTCAGTTATAAAGAGTACAAATTGTGAATTGATTTAATATATTCATAACTAAGTACTCTCCTTTAATGTAGCTTGCAATTTGTTTCACAAAATTATTCCATTCATTTCCACTAAAATCCTGCATGCTTAGATACATTTTCTTGAATGATACATATTAAGACAATTTTTAAAAGATTTATACTTACATCCCACATTGCAGATCAGAAATAGTCAACATGAACAGTTTATTTCCTATTTCACAAAGATATTTGATCATTAAACTAAATTATGAAGAATATTCTTCCATATTGAAACAACTTGAAAATATTATAATAAAGATTACTGTAATGTAGACACACAAAGAACATTCAAAACCAATATATGCTAATAGTTTTATGCATCTTGCACATTTAAATTGATGTCCAATATGATATACATGTTATATTTTATTTTAGAAGTACAACCAGCAGAATGTTATGCATCTATTCTTCCAAAATAATTATTTAATTCCTTTTTTATTTCTTTTTCCTTTCTTTTTTTTGCAAACTCAAAACCGATGTCAGGTAAGATGTATCTACTTAAGTCACAGCTGTGCTATTCTTAAAGAGGAACCAACTGATTCCTGATTCCATTTGAGACCTGCACTGGAGGAGAGAATCCATGCCTGCTTTGGTAAACTAGGTACAACAAACCAAAGCAGAGCATGTTTTAGGCGGTACAGGAGAACTGGAAACTGTTATTTAGCTAAATAAATGAGAAAAATGTACAATTGCCCTGAAAGCATTTTTTATTTATAGCCAGAGACAACTCCTATTCTCATCCATAATCAGGAAAGGCTCTCTTTCAAGAGAACAATGGTGAACGCCAATCAACATGACCCCGTAAGTCCTGGAGAATACGTGTTGGGCCAGTGCTCAGCCATAAAGAGGACATTTGTGCCATCCCCTCTAAGAGTCAGGGGTAGATGATAGAGAGAAAGATGTAGAATAGGAGGAAGGTTATCAAAATGCCATCTTCTGGGCAAGATACTACCTTTACAGTCATAGCTCACAGCAGCTGGATGCCTACACTGGTTCAGCACAAGAATGGGCCAATCAACATCCAGGCATGGATAGAAGAATAATTCAAGGGTCCCTACCCCTTATTGTAAAAATACTTGCTAATGGTAGAGTTCTGAACATGACAGAAACACTTCGTTCTGTTGTATACACAAGGATGACCCTACCAGGCTCCACTGCCTTCAGTCCAATAGTTAAAGCAAATAGGTCATAAAAACATACCCAAATCATGGTTTTAGTAAAACATTTGGTAGGGATGGGGAGCTGTAATTGACAGGAATGGAAGGGAGATTAGAGAACATGTGGGAAAGGAAGTAATCAGAATAAATTATAAACATATATATGTTTGAGAATGTCCAACAAAATTCATCAGTACCAAAAAAACCAATATGTGTACTAAATACTTTATCTACATTATTTTTGCAGCATACAAATATGAAAAAATCCCTTCACCTTGATAGATTATTTCAGAATTAGCAGATACTAATAGTATCTGTTGCCTTTTTTCTTTTGATCGTTATGCTTTCAACCAGAAATCTGACACAAACAAACACATATAGATACTGACATATAGAAAGTGTGTTTCTATGTCTTCTCTGAGGATCTAGGAAACAGTCTGGTACCCACAATAACAAGTCTGTGCAGCCATGGTGTTGACAGAAGTCAGAGCCGAACATTGTTTGGCTAATCAGGCTGCTATGAGTCAGTCAGAGGAGTCAAACCTCGAATTCCACATCTTCTCCCAGAGTCGTGCTCTTTGAGTGTTGCCTCCTAAATTGAAATAAAGTATTGTGAAGTTAAAAAGAAAATAACACAGCATATTTTCCCAAATACTTATTTAAATCAAATGAAAAATTTTGCTCTTGAAGTTTGTACTTAATTTATAAATATAAATAGGTACTATCAACTGAATTTCACTTTTCCATGAAAATCAACCTTGCATGCAACTTATGAGCTCAGGGGCAAATTATATTTAAAGTCAATAAACCATTGAATGTATATGTTTAGTGTAAGGTACACCAGCATTCATATTATTAACCATGTAGTATATTCATCTTGAATGGAATATATGATGCCATATTAATGCTTCACAGATCTGGCACAAATTTAGCAATTCTCAGTGATTGGAAAAGTTAGCATTTTAAAAATTGCTGTTCCAGCCGGGCGGTGGTGGCACATGCCACTCGGGAGGCAGAGGCAGGCGGATCTTTGTGAGTTCGAGGCCAGCCTGGTCTACAGAGCGAGATCCAGGAAAGGCGCAAAGCTACACAGAGAAACCCTGTCTCAAAAAAAAAAAAAAAAAAAAAATTACTGTTCCCGGGTGCTGCGGCAGCGGCTGGGTCTTCCTGCTCCCGCCGTGCTGCTGGACGCCCCGACGGTAGCCATCTGCGCCGCAGTGGGCCCGGTGCCCCCGCCTCCGCGATGCCCCCCAAGAAACAGGCTCAGGCCGGGGGCAGCAAGAAGGCGGAGCAGAAGAAGAAGGAGAAGATCATCGAGGACAAAACTTTCGGTCTAAAGAATAAGAAAGGAGCAAAGCAACAGAAGTTTATTAAGGCTGTCACTCATCAAGTGAAGTTTGGTCAACAGAATCCACGTCAGGTAGCACAAAGTGAAGCTGAAAAGAAATTGAAGAAAGATGACAAGAAGAAAGAACTACAAGAGCTAAATGAGCTATTCAAACCTGTAGTTGCTGCACAAAAAATAAGTAAAGGTGCAGATTTCAAATCTGTGGTGTGTGCATTCTTCAAACAAGGATAGTGTACTAAAGGAGATAAATGTAAGTTCTCTCATGTCCTCACTTTGGAGAGAAAATGTGAAAAGCGAAGTGTTTACATTGATGCAAGAGATGAAGAACTTGAAAAAGATACTATGGATAATTGGGATGAGAAAAAGCTGGAAGAAGTAGTAAACAAGAAGCACGGTGAGGCAGAAAAGAAAAAACCAAAAACTCAAATAGTGTGCAGACATTTCCTTGAAGCTATTGAAAATAACAAGTATGGCTGATTTTGAGTGTGTCCGGGAGGTGGCGACAATTGCATGTATCGCCATGCACTGCCTCCTGGGTTTGTGCTGAAGAAAGAAAGAAGAGAAAGAAGATGAGATTTCATTAGAAGATCTAATTGAGAGAGAGCGTTCTGCCTTAGGTTCAAATGTTACCAAAATCACTCTAGAGTCTTTCCTTGCATGGAAGAAAAGGAAAAGACAAGAAAAGATTGATAAGCTTGAACAAGATATGGAGAAGCGGAAAGCGGACTTCAAAGCAGGGAAAGCACTGGTGATCAGTGGTCGTGCGTGCGTGCGTGTATGTTGTTGGCCATCGACTTTGGGCATGGGAACTACACTGAAACGTGGTGAAAATAGCTAGTCTTGATTGGTAAAGGAGAATTTTTGATTTTCCTTTGCAAGCAGTTCTCTATTGGAGATAGCTTCTTGGTTAAGAGTTGGAGATTGTATCTGCTTGCCTATTTCAGGACTGGGACCCTGTATGGCTTGGACATTTGCAGGCTCTGTGCACGCTGCCATGATCTCTGTGAGTTGATATTGCATCAGGCCAGCTGTGTCTGGAAGAGACAGTTTCCTTGGTGTCATCCAGCCTCTCTGACTCCTACAATCTATCCACCTCCTCTTCTGTATGGTTTCTGAGCTCTAAGGGAAAAGGATTGATGAAAACATCCTATTTAGTACTGAGTGTTCCAAGGTCTCTTAATGTTATTTGGTTGCAGATCTGTCTATATTAGTTTGAATCATCTGTAAGAGAATGTTTTCTTAATGATGGCTAAGCCTAGACTGATCTAAAGATACTACAGAATGTAGTGAGAGCCATTTTGTTGTTGTATTCTTTAAGTAGAACAGTAGTATTTGGTTTTACACCAGGCCCACATCCTATCTAGTTCAAGTTCTTGGCCATATGAGCAGTGTTAGGCATGGGCTTTAATCCCAATCAGATAGTGATTGGTTATGCCACCATTACACCAGTGTATTATGCAGGCAGGTTACTGTTGTAGACAACAGGATTTGCAGCTGGTTGGTGCTTTCCACCTCTGATTGTGCGCCGAATAACTTTCTGTGCCATGGATGCTATTCAGTAGGGGTAAAGGCTGTAGTTAGGCATCAGTTAATGACTGATATTATCTTTTAAACAACAATAATAATTTCTTTGAGAAATTCTTTTTTTTTTCTGAAACAGGGTTTCTCTGTCTAGTTTTGGTGCCTGTCCTGTCCTGGAATTCTCTCACAGAGATCTGCCTGGCTCTGCCTCCCGAGTGCTGAGATTAAAGGCCTGAGCCACCACCGCCCAGCTGAAAAATTCTTACCATGCATTTTGATCATATTCACATACCTCAACTCCTATCACATCAGCCCTCTCCACTCTCACTTCCCTACCCTAAATTAGACTTTTCTCTCCACCTCCCCACATATAGTCCAGATTGTGTTGCCCAGTTACTCTGGGTGTGACGTCTGCCTGATACATATAGTTGATGGATCATGGATCTTGTCATTAAAGAAAACTGACTCTCCCTTTCCTGGAAACTATCAAATGCCAATAACTTCTCAACTATTGGTGGAGTTTCCTGCCTACATCCTCTCTCTCTCTCTCTCTCTCTCTCTCTCTCTCTCTCTCTCTCTCTCTCTCAATGGATTTTTTTCTGGCATGAGATTACTCAAATAATTGTATATTTTGTCACAATAATTTTGAGTTCATATGTGTAACTACTTTCTTATATCCAGGAAATAGTCTTCTAAAGTTGTTCTCCACCCATCACTCTGACAGTTTTTACATCCCCTCTTCCAAAATACTTCCTGAGCCTTGGGAAAGGCATGTGATATATACTCCCATTTATGGTTGAGTACTCTGTGTTCTCTTATTCTCTAAACATTGACCAGTTGAGATTCTCTGTATTAATTGATAACAGATTTTTTTTCTTTCTTTCTTTTTTTTTTTTTTTTTTTGGTTTTTCGAGACAGGGTTTCTCTGTGTAATTTTGCGCCTTTCCTGGAACTCACTTGGTAGCCCAGGCTGGCCTCGAACTCACAGAGATCCGCCTGCCTCTGCCTCCCGAGTGCTGGGATTAAAGGCGTGCGCCACCACCGCCCGGCGCAATAACAGTTTTGAAGATGAGCTCATTTGATGAGGGTTCTTGTTTTTCCTATGGGCATAACAGTAAGACACTAGAGTTATTCCAATCCTGTGTCTATTTATCAGAACCCAGACTCAGAAGGACAAACAAGGTATGTATCCACTTATAAGTGGATACTAGAAGTAAAGCAAAGGATAACCAGACAACAACCCACAACTCCAGAGAAGCTAGCTGACAAGGAAGATACAAAGAAGGATGTATGGATTGCCCTGGGAAGGGGAAATACATGAGATCTCCATGAGTGAACTGGGGGTGAGGGTTGAACAATGGACAGTAGGGGGTGGAGGGTGAGAACATAAGAGAATGGGATGGTCAAGCTGGAACAGCTTGGAGTGGGAAAGCAATGAAAGAGATACCATGATGGAGGGAAATATCATGGGGATAGAGAGAAACCTGGTGCTAGGGAAGTTGCCAGGAATCCCCAAGGATGACCCCAGCTTGGACTACTAGAAATTGTGGAGAGGGTGCCTGAACTGAACTGGCTTGCCCCAGAGATCAGACCGGTGAGTACCCTAACTGCCATCATAGAGCTTTTCTCAAATGACTGGTGGAGGCAGATGCAGAGATCCACAGCCAAACACCAGGCAGAGTTCTAGGAATCCAGTGGAGAGAGAGGAGGGATTCTATGAGTAAGTGCATCAGGTTCATGATGGGGAAACCTGCAGAGACAAGCAAACTAGTGGGAACTCATGAAAGTTCAAATCGCTGGCTGTGGAGCCTGCATGGGACTGGACTAGGCCCTCTGCAAGATGAGACAACTGTGTAGCTTAATCTGCTTGGGGGGCCCCCTGGTGGTAGAATCAGAATCCATCCCTAGTACATGAGGGGGCCTTTTGGAGCCCACTGCCTATGATGGGACACCGTGTGCAGGAGGAAGGACTTGGACTTGCCTCTACTGGATGTGCCTCTCCATGGGAGGCCTTATGTTCTTGTGTGGAGGAGTGGGGGGTGGTTTGGGGGGAAGGGTGAGGGCAGGAGGAAAGAAGAGGGGATCTTTGATTGGTGTGTAAAATGAATGAAAAAAATTCTTGATTAAAAAATAATAGTAGCATTAGGTTCTCCTCTAGGGCCTACAACATTTCGAGCCATAGATTTTTGGCCTGTTAACATTGCTGGATGGGTTCCATCTCATGGAGTAGGCCTTAGATTCAATCAGAAAGTACTTTGTTACTCTCATAATATTCATACCAGGATGCACAGGTAGACATACTCTGACAGTCAATGTTTAGCACTCATGGTTCACAAATGACTGATGATTATTTTTTTCCTCTTGTCATATGGATTCATTTTGCAGCAATATGAAAGATAACTAGTATGAGATGAAGCTTCCAAATGAATATCAGTTTTAATTTTCCATGTTCTGTGACCCCCATAGGTGATTTCCAATACAATAGGGTCATGCCATTAAGCAGTAGAAGTTAACCAAGAGCACTAGCAATAGCCTATAATGTTTGAAGATCTATGATATCAAATTGTCCACCAACTCACAAAGAGGCAACCCATTCCTGGTATAAGATTTCTTTATTTGATAGTATGTAGTGTCTAGGTGGGGTATTGTCCTCAAATGTAGGATGGCTCAACAAAATTGTATATAAGAAATATATTAGAATATATATTAGAAATCTTATTAAATAATATGTAAATATATTGTATATATAGTTTTATATTAGAAATATAAACTAGAGTTCTAATATATGTAACATATATACATATTCTTCTCCAGTAGTAGGTTTCCATTTGGCTTTTTTTTTTTTTTTTTTTTTTTG